GCTGGTTCTCCGGGCAGATTCAATATGGAAGATGCCATCTCGCTGGCCGGCTTGGATTCCCCGGCCGTGTCTGGTGTCAGTGAACACTCTATTGCGGCAGACATGGAGCCCTTAGAACCTGAGTTATCGAAGGATGAAGGTCTACCTCCTGACCAACCCGCTTTCACTGGCCTGTTTCCCCAGGCTCTATTTAAATCACTTCTGTTCAAGGCGGTGAATACAGCCCAACTCGGGGCTGCTCTTCCACCAGAGCCTCCACCAGTTACAGGCTCCTTGAATCCATTGTTTGCTGAACCACCTAAGCCGGTGACTGCCATTCCTACGCCTCCACTCTTCTTGGATGTCATCCAGAAGCAGTGGTCTTCGCCCACTTTGGCTCCTGTCCCATCATCCACGGACAGAAAGAATTTCACTGTGTCTTCTGCTCTGACTACCCTGCTGCAGGTACTCTCTGTCGACGCTCCTGTGGCAGCTTTACTCTCCTCAACATCCATTCCAGGTGATCCAGAAGAGGGCCTTCAGCCTGACGAGCGCAGGTCAGAGCAGGTCCTTCAGAGGGCCCATCTCGGGGCAGCCTGGGCCATCAAATCGGCTACCACCACTTCTTTCTTTAATCGTGCAATGCTCCTGTGGCTTCGGCAGCTCCAGGATAAACTTTCTCCGGAGGACTCGAGATTGAAACAGGACCTGAATAAGATTGTAGCTGCCGTACAGTTTTCTGCGGATGCTATATTGAATGCGGCTCGATTTGCAGCTAAATCCCTGGCCTCCTCCATTGTGGCTCGCCGCTTAGTGTGGCTGCGCCACTGGCAGGCCGATGCGAGACATAAATGGCGTCTGGCGTCGGTCCCCTTTTCGGGCACGAAGCTGTTTGGGGAGCATTTAGACAATTTCCTTGTGGAAACCAAAGATAAGCGGAAGATCCTGGCTGCAGTTTTCCTTAGAGGGGAACCCCGTTTCTCTTCGTATGTTCCTCGCCCTCAGTTTCGGTCATCGGATGGGGGCTTAGGGTCCTCTCGCAACACGGGTAATTTTACCCCTAGGCAGTGAGGTTTTCAGGAGAGACCACCCAGGGGGAGGAATTTCGGTCCCCGGCGGCCCTTTCGAGAGGGAGGGGGTCGTTTCATCCGTCACCGTCACTAGTAGTACCAGGGAGCCTCCCATAGGCGGAAGATCAGGCCTCTTCGCCAAGGTTTGGGAGAGTACTACTTCGGATTGCTGGGTCCGGGCCTCCATTCTATCAGGGCTGGCCATTGAATTTGTTTCCACCCTCTCTTTGTCTTTTATTCGCTGTCCGCTGTCTCAGGTTACCAAATGTCGAGCCCTTATGGAGTCGGCTATTAGTCACCTTCTCGCCATTAAGGCTATTCAACGAGTGCCCAGGGATCAAGCTGGACAGGGTTTCTATTCTCGGGTCTTCCTAGTCCTGAAGTCATCGGGTGGGTGGAGACCTATTCTGAACCTTAAACGTTTGAACCGATTTGTTATCTACCGAAGGTTCAAAATGCAATCCTTGTGATCAATTTTAAACGGCATACGGAGGGGCGATCTCCTCTGCTCAATAGATCTTACGGAGGCGTATCTCCATATCCCCATTTGAATTTCTCATAGGAAGTTCCTTCTTTTTTGTTATGCTGGGGTTCACTACCAGTACAGGGCTTTACCATTAGGCCTTTCCTCTGCTCCCCGTAGCTTGGCGGCTTTAGCCGCTTACCTCAGGCTTCGGGCCGTTCGTCTCCAGTGTTACCTGGATGACATCCTCATTATGTCTAGTTCCCCTCAGCAGGCCATTTCAGATCTCCAACTTACCATTCAGACACTAGCCTCGCACGGCTTCTCTGTTAACATAGAGAAAAGCTATCTGGAACCCTTGACTAGAATTCTCCATTTAGGAACTATAATTGATTCAGTTGAAGGTAAAGTTTTCCTCTCCCCGGATCGACAAACCGGGTTGAGATCCCTGGTGGCCAAGGTCATAAAAGATAGATGATTGTCTCGGCCATCTCTATTGTTCCCTGGGCCAGGTTACACCTTAGAGACCTTCAATGGTTTCCCTTGCCTTTACAGAAGGCGGGCAAGGGGTCTTCTTCGGTCAGAATTGCAGTTCCGAGGGAAGTGTTCGTGTCTCCTTGCTGGTGTTGATCCCCTGTGATTTCCAAAGGCTGCCTGTTCCTGGAGCCTCAATGGGTGGTAGTGACCACTGATGCCAGCAAGTTTGGTTGGGGAGCTCATTGCGGGGCGCAAGTTGCTCAGGGCACCTGGTCCGCCGTGGACGCGGTTCGCAGTATCAATTGGCTGAAGCTTCGTGCGACTTCCCTTGCACTTCGGGCCTTTCGTCAGCTGGCAGCCGGCACCCATGTGCTGGTGCTCACCGACAACACCTCAGCCAAGGCTCACGTGAATCGCCATGGCAGAACCAGGTTCAGGTCTCTGATGCAGGAAGCCAAAAGACTGGGACTTTGGGCAGAGCTCCATCTGGCTTCGTTGAAGGCGGACCATATATCAGGAGATGCGAACGTGATGGTGGACTGGCTGAGCCGCCAGAGGATAGATCACGTGGAATGGAGTCTCCATCCTCTCTTCTTCCAGATGATGGCGGATCGCTTCGGCACACCACAAGTAGGCCTGTTCGCCTCCCAGCAGAATACCAAAGTTCCCTGCTTCTTCTCCCGTTTCCATTCTCAACAGGCGGAAGCTGTGGACGCTCTGCACTCCCCTTGGCCTCAGAGCTGCTGTACGCCTTCCCACCGATTCCCCTCATTCCGAGGGTACTTCGAAAACTTCTGATAGAACAGGCGGAGATCATTCTTGTAGCACCACATTGGCCAAGGAGGTCATGGTTTGCGGACCTCATGAATTTATCAGTGTCGCCTACTTGGAGGATCCCGTGCACCATCGATTGTCTCAGCCAGGGGGCAATTGTACATCCAGAGCCTCAGTGGCTACAGATGACCGCTTGGTGGTTGAGTGGGAGGCTCTGAAGCGGGACCACATCCCGGCCTCAGTGATTCGTACTATCCAGGCATCTCGGCGGTCATCGACGGACCAAATTTATTCAGCCACTTGGTGGACCTTTTCTTCTTGGTGTGAGCTCCAAGGCTTCTCCGCTCTTCGAGCTTCTGTGGTGCAGGTCCTGATGTTTCTCCAGGCTGGGTTGGACAAAGGTTTTTCTCCCAACACCCTACGGAGACAGGTGGCCGCTATTTCGTCGGTCCTGACATACAACTCCACTCATTCTTTGTCGCACGATCTGCTGATTCGTAGCAATGAATCTCTGTCCTCCAGTACTGCATCGGTACCCAACTTGGGACCTTTCGTGGGTGTTGGACTCTCTTACGGGGTCTCCATACGAACCGCTGGTTTCAGCAAGTCTATGACTTTTATCCGGAAAAGTGGCTTTCCTGGTTGCTATAACTTCTGTGCAGCAGATTTCTGAAATCACTGCATTGTCTATCAGGGATGATTTGTGTGTGTTCCACGCGTACCGTGTGGTCCTCAGGTTGGATCCTACGTTTGTGCCTAAGATTAACTCTCCCTTTCATCATTTGCAGGAGCTGGTTCTTCCAGATTTCTACCCGTGTCCTTCCAATCCATTGGAGAGCCAATTACACACGTTGGATGTCTGGCGGGCTCTTCAAATCTACCTCCGGAGGACTGCTGATATTCGTCGGACAGAATCATTGTTCATTTTTTTTCTCCCTGCTTCTTTAGGGCACAAAGTGACTTCTTCAACAATTGGTCATTGGATCCGAGCTACGATCAATACAGCTTACAAAGTCTGGTCTTTGCCGCCTCCTATTAATGTGACAGCTCATTTTACTAGAAGTGCTGTGACTACAGCTGCTGGGCATCTAGGGCTTCGTTGCTTGAGATCTGTAGGGCAGCTACTTGGACTTCTCCTTCTCCCTTTGTTAGGCACTATAAGTTAGATAAATTTGCCTCCGAACAGGCTGCCTTTGGGAGGAGAGTGTTACAGGGTGTTGAAATGCGGGGGGAGTCTTCTGCCCAGACTGTTCCCTCCCATGAGCTGGGACAATGAACTCTGGTATGTCCCATGTCTGGCTGCTGTCTCCACCTTCAATGGAAAAGGGGCATTGGTCCTACCTGATACGCCCCTTCTCATTGGGTGGAGACAGCAGCCAGCCCCACCCTTCATCAGTCTGGTCACTAATGTTGTTTCTGTTTTCTTCCACACTCGGAGTCTGTCTTCCTCCTTTGACAAAAGCTGGGAGTCCCTAGCAACAGGGGCGGAATTTAACTGATTTGACAGCTCAGTCCCTCATTCTGACCAATGAGCACAACCCAAGTCTGGCTGCTGTCTCCACCCAACGAGAAGGGGCGTATCAGGTAGGACCAATGCCCCTTTTCATTTGACTGGAAACCACTATATTCCAAATTGCCCTATTCTGCATCATATTTAAGGCAGCATTGATACAGGACAACTTGTATCAAGTTGGAACCCAGACTACAAAGTAGCTTACAAGCTACAGCTTTTATGACAAGTACAATTTAATTACAACCATTTATGTAACAAGAAACTAATTTTTCTATATTTAACAAAACTTGCTTATGTTGCAGTCTAAATAAACAGTAGGTAAATTGAAGTGCATTTTAAACATGAAATAGGTATTCAGGCCATCAAAAATAATATGTACTTGTACTTGCAAATACTTTCCTCTTTTTTTTAGGATTCCAAAGTTGTTGCTTTGCAAGCATCTGTATTGTATGTGGAATATGTATACATACGCGTGCATGCGTGCCCATGCCCACACAAATATCTTTGCTTTCAGTAAAGTTTTGGCATTAAGAAAAGATAATGTACCTGTATGTAAATTGGATGGAAGGTTTCTGTCTTTTTTCCATTGTGTGCATTTAGCAGAAATTTTTTTTTAACAAAACTGCAATCCCAATTTCTTCTGTTTGAATCAATATTTTTGTGATATTATCTAATTAGATATTATCTCATGTGCATAGATAAGTTACTTTACAATACCAAAATGTACAAACACCAATTTTACATTTCTTTATTTGCACATCATTTATAACATCTCATTACACATACTATTTTCTTACACAAAAGTTTGATCTGGACAATATCCTTACACCACATATACAAATCTAGAAACAATAACATCTTTATTATATTACATGTAATGTGTAAATTTAATGAAAGTGCACCTGTGTTTATGGGACTGTTTATTATATCTTTTGGTTGAAAGATTTATCTCAATTTTATAACTTTTATATAACTATCTAAATATTCATTCAGAAACTGTTGAACAGGTAATTAACCTAAACTTTATAATTTATTATTTTCAGAGAATTAAATACATCAGGTGCTATAGCATTTATATATACTGAACCACTGTATTCCAGTAACATTGTTAATAGGTGAAATTTTATTCACTAGGCTTATGAAATGTTTATCCCAAACTTTTCACCTATTTTCATCTGATGGTGTTTGTGTAAATATATGGGCAGGATAATGAAACTGTTTATTTTTGCATGAATATTACCTAGCTTTTAGGGTTGGTGGGAATAAATTCTGCAATTTTTATTGCTCACTTATTTCTAAAATGAATGGTTTGGAGATGCATTAAAATGTTTCCAGATAGTTTTGAAGTGGAGCATGCCAACTAGACATGATACTAAGAAGCTTGATCTAGAGAGCTATCATAAAGAAAAAGTTAGTAAGGTACTGGTGATATGGTCTTGACAAAAAAAGCAAAATAATAACTCACAAATACTGTCCTGAATATTTTTGATAATTACATATCAAAATTGACTGTAAAACAAAATTGAAATAACTTTTAATACAATATATTTTTACAGTTCTGGAAATTCAGAATTCAATTCCTTTATACCTGCTACTGGTATTAATTTTTTTAAAGATACTGTAACTTATTAAATACATTTTTTAATTTGATAAAAAGAATTCTCTATCATGGTTCACTGATAACTGACCTAGTTTGGTTTCAAAAGATGTTAAGTCATAACTAGTCAGCAATATAACTAAACTGATGATGCAGATGCCTCAATGTCAGTGCCAAGCTTTAACACAAATGTACATGAATTAACTTCATTGAAAATACATTGAAACTGCTAGGACTTTTTAAAATGTCTACGTGGTAAAAAAATTTAGGAAAGTGAATATGGTTTCTTTTTAAATGTTTACTGAGTTAAAAGTTAAATGTTTTTCTTTTGTACCTGTATAAGTGTCTGTTTGGCACAGCAACCAAACTAGACAGACAGACTTCAACAGAAAGTTAGGACTGCAGAAAAAATAATTGCAACCAGCCTGCCTTCCATTGAAGACCTGTATACTGCATGAGCCAGAAAGAGGACTGTGAAAATATCTACAGACCCCTCACATCCTACACATAAACTGCTTCAACTTTTTCGCTCAAGATGACACTAAAGGGCATTATATGCCAAATCAACCAGACAAAAATATAGTTTGCCCCCCCCTCCTCACCATGCTATCACTCTGCTAAACAACTAATTCCGACAATGCTGTTTATGCCTAGGATGTCAAACCACCTAGTAGGGCTGTATTTCCTATTATCCTTCTAATCTTTTCATCTTTCCTATTACCTATTTCCTTAGTGTCTTATGACTATAATTTTGTTGCTTGTTTATAATCTTCGTTTGTGTCTCATGATTTATGTCAATTGCCTTTATTTAGCATCCTATTATGATTTATGTTGTTTGCTTATTTAGTATGCCTATCATTGAGTTTGTATCTTATGATTTGTAATGATTGCATTTTATTATATGATCATGATTTATCACTTGTTGCTTGTATGTACACTGAGAGCTTATGCACCGGAAACAAATTCCTTGTGTGTCCAATCACACTTGGCCAATAAATAATGAATGAGTGCTAACACTCTAGATAGAATTCATAAATTAATATCTTTATTTTGTAACAGTTTTTTAAAAAAAATAGGAAAATACTGAAAGACACTCCATAGTTTTATATTTTGACAGACCCAAATTTATGAGCTCATACTACTGTGTTTCCCTGAAAATAAGACCCTGTCTTATATATTTTTGAACCCTAAAATAAGTGCTTGGCTTTATTGCCATGCGCTCAAAAGCCTGATTGGGCTTATTATCAGGGGATGTCTTATTTTGGGGAAAACAGGGTATCAACGAGATTCCTTTATTGTGGGGTCCTTCCATGAAAATGGTTTATTAGTTTTTAGACAAACAAACCTATTTTCCTTGTAATAATGTATCCCATGAAAACACAGTATAATTTAGATCTGGAATCCAATATTAGGGCATCACATGGCTACTTATTTCTAATACAAAATGGGAGCTAATGAGAAAAATACACCCACATGTGATTAGAAAACATCTGAAAATACAGCAATCAATTTTTGAACATGCCTTGTTAACATTACTTCAATCCTTATGTGAGAACAAACTGTTTCTGAAATCCAGTTCTATAATACAAATAGTTCATAATGCAATTATTCTTCCATGATTATAATCTCTTTGAATAAACATTTTATAATATATTTGTAATTATGAATAAATAAATGCTCATTTGAATTTCTTAGTATGACCACACCTTTATGCAGAAAAAACCCCATATTTTGGATACCATTATCATCAAATATTACTTGGCCTTCAAAGTAATGGAGCCAGTTGCAAGCCTTTACATCTGAATATCCATGTTTTGAAACACTATTGCCACTCTGCTTGGAATGTATACCTAAAGGGAGGGGAAAAAAAAGTCTTATTATTGATCCATTAAAAACCTTTGTAGTATGGGGGGCATAAATCTAAATGACTTAAATAAATTACTTATAATGTTACATTATTTAATGTCACTGAAGAATCAAACACTTATTAAATATGGCACAGATGTAGAGTCAAATTCTGGATTTGTATTTAGTCTTAAGACTAAGTAATTAATAGAAATAATAAATTTTGCATCCTTCATATCCTATTACCTAATGCTGGATTGGGTAATAGGCTTAAATGAAATTGGAACTAGAGGACACAAATGATTTAAACTGATCCAAGTCTGAATATTTGAAGACATCCATATTGTGTACTAGTGAATGACAAACTCTTACTGTTCAATTTGATTGCCATTGTATCATGAGTTGAATTTGTATTTTGCCCGAGATGTCATTCAGTGGAAATAAATACAACAGAAGATATAGTAAAGCATTTAGTAACCTGCAAGTCAGAGGGTTGAAATGGGTCTCACTCATATATATTCAACAAATTTGTTGAACAATGGTAATAATGTTCTTTCAACATTATGATTAATGTTCTTTTATTCTTTCAGAGAGAAACTCTGAATCTGAAATCATTTTTAGGTAAGGAAAAAAGAAATATGTAACAGTGGATTTTATAACTCCTTTTACAGATCATCTTCTGAGTTATTGTTTTTAACTAATTGATATGTGTACTTTACAGACTGCAGGGTGCAACTGATGAGGAGTGAGATGTGGGGGGAGAGGGAGAGGGGAGAGAGAGAGAGAGAGAGAGAGAGAAATTTTCACTGAATCAGACTATAACATGTCCAATGGATCATAGCTATTTGTCAGTGATCAGAGTTTTTTTCTCTAAGGTTTCTGTGATAAATAACTCCTACAAATCTGCTCAGCAGGGAAGGACATTTGATATACACCTAGAATTCTGTACTCTGAAATTTACAGAAAAAGAAAATAAAATGTCAAGGGAATGGTTAATGATACTTGGTTATTGTAAAATATGTTAGAAGAGGTTTATTTCCAAATATTTTAGCAAACAAAACCATATATTTACTGATACTCCCAATAGTTCAGTGGAGAAAATTTCATGTTTAAAATTAATGAGAAATAAGTAAGAGACAGTTATTAATGAAGGACAGGCAATCTGTTAATGAAAAATTGTCACTGACAAAAGGATGTGGTCCAGGTTGATGGTTTTTTTAAAAAAACTTAGCAATAGCTAGATGAGCACGGGTTCTTCACCCTTTCTGTAATCCCAACTATTATTCTTTCTGTCTTCTTACTCTATATGGATTCCACATACACTTAAAAAATACTGTACTTTTTGATAATACTATACTTTTAAAAATATTTAAAACAATATTAAGAAAACAAACGTTAATATATCCATAAAGTAAAAATAAATTTTCATTTCTCTTGACATCAGCTTAATGTTTTATTTATGTCCCTTGTATGTAAGAACTTCCTGAAAAAGTTCCACTTTTTTTTCATTTGTAGAGAAACTTGGACTAAAATAAATAAATATTTAAATTGAATTAAATAGCATTTGAAGGAGGAAATTGGATTGGATTTTCCTGCCATTATTAACTATTAGCACTATTTCACTTTCCACAGCAGGTTTTTTTTTTCTTTCCAAAGACTCTGAAAGCAGCCTGAGGGCAAAGATTTTGGGGCGGGGGGGGGGGGCATTTCTCTTTGCCTGCCTTGATTTTACAAAGTTTTTCAGCAGATAATTCTTGATTTTTATCTTTACCTCTTTTCCAGCAGAAAGGGTTGCAAACGCTGCCGCCCCCCCCCCCCAATTTGGGGACTATCCATCCCATTAACCAGAGTGGATTTAAGAGAAATTCCTTCCTTTTCTCCACAGAGCCAACCAAAATACGAGTAGGTTGGGATGTTTTTTTTTTCATATCTTTGTCTTATTTTTTTGCTTTTCTGGAAACTTGTCCTTATATTGTACTAAAATATAATTAACCAAAAAGCCCATAAGTAATTTATTTTTTTCTCACCCTGCCACTAGAAATAGGAATATCTTAAGATGGATTGTTTAACAGTTGTTATGGGAAAATTTAAAATATATTTAAGTTTACTTATATGTTACCTTCAAGAGACTCTAGGTAACCCATAACAATAAAAATTAATAAAATCTATTTTCATAATAAAATCAGCACAAAAATAAAGATATTTAATGATTAAAATATATATGTATTCAAAATAAAGAGTAACCAACATTTCATAAATCTATCCCCAGAGATATGCTAAAAAGGATGTTTTTTGTACTTCTAGAACACTGTTAAAGAGGGCAGCATTCTTACCTCAGAAAGAAAAGAATTTGAAAGGGTTATAGAATTAATCTCAAATGCTAACCCCCAAATAGGTCTCTGGTAGGCAATTAGATCTTTTAATATAATTAAATAATAATGAAAGGATGTATGTTTTCTTCAAGCTCCAAATTTTTGAAAAAAAACATTGAAAACTTTTTTAGTACACAGTCTTAATGGTATTATTAGGATTTTTCCTACAATATTTTAATCCACGTGTTATGGTTATGTGGATATTGTCTTCCACTCTCAAGAACTTGTCCCATTTAAATGCAGACTACTTTTCTATAGCACACGAGTTTAACTGAATAAATACCAAATTAAAAAAGAAAGATACATAATGTGGAAAAAGGAAAACTACAAATAATATATGAAAAAGAAGGAAAAAAGAATTTCTTTAACATTATTGAAAGACTAAACATGGTGTTAAATTCAGAAGTGCATCAATATTAGTAGATGTACCATTTCATCCTAAAAGAAACTGATTTGCTAGTGCAAGGTCAGTGAATTTCTCACTCAGCCATCCTCATCCTGCCCATTTAAGAACATCCAATATGCCAGCCACATCAATTTAATTGAATGCAGATTCAAATAACATTAATGGAATATCAACATAAATATATTTGCTAACATTTATTCTGGAACATACTTAATTTGAATTTTAACATGACTAAATATCTACTTTAATTGATGTTTAAACTATAACATACATTTTGTAGAAAAATGTCAACTATTGCTGCATAATTGATAAAACAACAGCTAATTGAGAATGTGTCAAGTTGTCATATCACATTGAGCAAAAGCAAATACATGTCATGCTTGCAGTTGAAAATATGTAAGAGAGCGCAAAGTTGAATTTCTTCGTTCCATTGAGAATAACATGTGAATGCACAGTACACTAAGTTTTGTGGTTTTTACTACATATACAAAAGTGCAAACCATACCTGTGCTCAACTTGACATAAGTTGAATTTCCTTTTGAAAATATTTGCACAATTGTTTTGTGATTCAATGTATATGGACTTCTATCAAAAAATGCAGCAATATAAAGTAAAAGTGCAGAATAAGCCATCATTCTACACCACCCATTTCTATAGTTAGTCAGAATAGATTAAAGGGAAATTCATTGTAGATTAAGAAATACCAAAAACAAATTTACATCACCAAAAATCCAGTGTTATAATTACAAACAATTAGCAATTGTTTGGTATAGTATTATTATTAAAGTAATAACAAATGATTTCAAAAGAGATGAGTGCAGAAAAAAACAAAATTACTAAAGCAAATTTACAAAGTAAATTTTTTCTTCCAAAATTGCAAATCTCTCTTTCATTCTCCCTTCAGGTATAGGCAAGTCTCTTTGACAGATTCACAAAGCTGTCACTGAAGCTGAAAGATTCTTTCCTAGTTGTTGAAATATCCTTTGGAATATATCTGTTGTAATCCCTATCTGCTCTGTTAACAATGTCCTCTTCCCTATTTTCGTTGCTTTGCAGGTTGTAGTCATTTCTGTCTTTAAATTTGTAATCCATATAGAAATAGCATCAAAAAAGATTGTTTAAATTTTTTTTACTCCTTAACTCTTTAGTTCAATTCAGCACTTCATAGGTCTATACTCACATGGTCTTTCTCAAATGCCACTTATCTCTTCGTTTAAAAAGCTTGGCCATTGAGTCCCCTTAAGAAAGTTAAACAGTCTTCTTTTCCATTATATTTTTAATTAAATACAAAGTACTTTAAAGCAGATAATTTAAAATTTAACTGGTTCCTTCTGTTTTAATTTTTATAATTCAAATTCTTAGTAAGTTTTTTTTTACTAAGAACTTTATTTTGATTAATTTTAAACCTTTATGATTATTATTATTTTTTTATTATATCCCAGGTTGGAAAAGTGGTCACCAGATGTCTAGTTCTTTGCTGTTTGAAAGATTTCAATAGGCATCAAAGTATTTATATCCAAGTATGCTTTAGAAAACAAAATTGCATTTGAGTCCAATGCTCTTAAAGTAGACTCTGTGTGAGGCTGAGAGTTTGATATTAATTCATTGGCTCTTGTTCTACTCAGTGTGCTTACATCTTCCATTCAGATCTTGTGAGTTTCTTGTGAAAAGCAGCCTTCTGGAGCACATGTGGGTGATCTCTTAGATTCTCCTATATCCGGAGAAACTCTAGAGATCTAGCTTCACAACCAGTTCACAAGTTTCCACCTCAATATTATCTCCAGTTATTGGAGCAGTTTACCATTTTCTCCATCCAGAAATCCAACACAAATATGTTTTGAATAGATGAGCTTTAGCTGAAGGTGCATAGCGAATAGAAATAGGTATATTTATGAATACAACCTGTTGTTATGTGGGTTTTTAATTTATTTAATTTTTAACTGGAATGTTTATAGTGGTCATCTTATTCAATAAGAATTCAGGTTAAGTATGAAGCTGGATTTTAATCAAAATTAATTATTACCATTTATGTTATTTACTGATTTTTTTAACCAAAAAAATAAAAAATAAAAAACCCACCATTAACAGGTCACATTGACTGTAGACAATGAGATTAAAAAATTTCCAACACAATTTATACTTCAGGCCTCTATGTATTGATCTTATTGATCTATAAAAATTTTCTTTTCTTTTATTATGAACAATACCAAAGCAGAGGATTATAAGAGCCGTGGTGGCACAGTGGTTAGAATGCAGTACTGCAGGCTATTTTCTGCTGACTGCGGGCTGACTACAATTTGGCTGTTTGAACCTCACCAGGCTCAAGGTTGACTTAGCCTTCCATACTTCCGAGGTTGGTAAAATGAGGACCCAGACTGTTGGGGGCAATATGCTGATTCTGTAAACCACTTAGAGAGGGATGTAAAAGCACTGTAAAGTGGTATATAAGTCTAAATGCTATTGCTATTATGTTATTGAAATCATGTTGTGCTAATGCAGGGAGAGTCTTTAGAATCTGTTCTTCATGCTGAGAAAATGAGGGAAATGGTCTGTATTCTTGAAAGGTGATAATGTAAATGTGCTAGGCTTAAAGATATCATAACACTCATTGCCCATTCAATACTGAAGTCCACCAATTGAAACAAACTGTGGAATAGAATACTTAACAGATATCTTAAGATGTTTTAAGTAACCCTACTTCCAGTTTGTAACATACATTGTTTGGTGAGGTATGGTTTGTTTTACACATTTTGGTTTAGGCATGGAGATGAGGATCTTGCTTTTTTATCATACTACTATTTGGCCTACACACCTGTCTGCAACTTTACCTTCAAGTAGTGTGTGTGCTGGTGTCCTCGGCTTTGGCCATCACTTTCATTCAATGCATTGGGTTGCTAAGGAACACAAAGGAAAGGGTGACCCACACTCAGGGTTCAAATTTATATTTTAGTGCCATTATCATGCCATTAGCTTGTAGCTAAATTCAAATTATATTACATGTTTGGTTATTACTTTTTTTTTATCATGCTTTCTTTCACATGCATTTGTTAAATTCATTTTTACAGTTGTTCCAACCTCTGTAAACATTAATTGTATTTTGCATCTGCACTATGCTTGTCATGTTGATAATATGTTATGGTTAATAAGATCATAATAATTATGTGAGGCTATCTGCTGTATATTAATTTTTCATTACATTGGTAGAATAGTAAAATTTGCAAGAAATCACTCTTCAGAACTGCATTTTTCCCCACTTTTATGGGATTCCCACAAATCCCACTTTCCCAACTGGGATTTCCTTCACTGTGATATATGATGTACAGAACAAGAATGTACATATATACAGATAATATATGCAGAAAAGTATATACAGAATGATTCAGGATATTAAAGTGATTGATCGTTGTTTACTGGTACATATTCTAGGGTCACTGAGATGATTATGAATATAAATAGAATATGAGAATATTAAAAAAGAAATGGCAACATATAAATTGGCATATGGACATGATAGAAGAAAGAATGTTTCCAAGAATTGAAATATATGAAGTAAACTAGAATTATGAGTTCTACTGGAGTAAATTAGCTGTATATTATTTTCTTTTATTATGTCATGTCTTAAGTGCATCTTTTAATTCCTTTTTGTGCTTTGTTTAATGTTGTTTACCCTGAATTTAAAGATAGTCTTAGCTGTGAAGACATTTTTCCAGTGAATAAAAGAAAAGGAAGGAAAGAAAAAGAATCCAACATTATTATAGTCTGGTTACTTTTTTTTTTTTTTTTGGACTGCAGTTTATGTTTAATATGATCAAAATTTTGCACTGAATAAATTTGATAAGAACCCCCACATAAAAATAAAAAAAATTAAACAGTGCATCAAATGCAACTTTACCCTATATTGTTTTATTGTCTTTGTTTTTAAATTAAACCTTAAAAAGAAAATAAAAACATTATGCTTGCATTACTAAGTTAAATACTTCCAATACTTAAATTCTCATATTGTATAAGAGATAAACTACAGAAGTTTTTATAGATGATCCCAGTTGATTAAAATATTAGCAATGAAAATCACAGGATGCTTACATGCAAAGAATTAAACATGCATGTTATTGGTATATTGAACAGGAAATCAGGAAAACAAAAATGTACACAGAAATCATTTATTAAATTTGTTATATGCATATTTGGAAGGTCAGAATTATTATATAAAATTTAAAATATTGAGAAATTGCCACTTATGCCATATAAATTCTTTTATGACATTTACTTTTATAATTGTTCATGCAAGATCAGTTATCATATTTTATAAAGGGAAAAGATGAAGGCAACATGCAGTCTTCTAGTACAGAATTTAAAATATTAACTATCTCTCTGAAGATATGCTTTAGAGAAATTGGAGTAGAAAAAAATGTACTTACCAAAAGAGAATTGGATCGATGATTATGTGAATACTGCTGAGAAAAAAAATCTGTAGTATGATCCAGTCTATTATGCCCTCCATACTCTGGAGCATCAGAATCCAAGGCAATTTTATATGTATAGCAATAGTTAAGGATTTCTATAGTGGAATTACATCATTTAAAATAAGAAATAATACATAGAATATAATACAGTTAATTGCAGAAATGAGCTCTTTATACAATGTTTAGATATTCTATGTGTTGTATGTCATAAGCTGAACACACATGGCTTTTCATTAGCATGCTGGGGTCACATTAAAAAAAATATCAAAGCAGTCATAAAAAATAAATTTCATTTGCTTAATCTTTTTCAGATAAATGTAATTAGACCTAAATAAAATAATTAGATGTAGTTATCTTTCAATATACAAAATACAGATGGCTCTTAGTATGTTTAGCAATTTTCTTCTTCTATATAATTATAATTAGGGAACAAATTTTGAAGACAGTTTAGGGAAATAGGTTGTTATAAGGAATCAAACTGCTCTCTAATCTACATGAACAAGGGTTATATATACTACTATTTAAGTACCTGTTTATTATTCAGTATAAAATATATTTACCTATTTTACCTGAAGGAATAAATTTAGTCTATACCCAGTTATTTAGTAATAAACTGCTTGTAAGAAAACTGAATTTACTTTGGCGTAAACATGTGTAGGACTTCCAGTAATCATGAATTAAATATAAAGAAAAATTACTTAACATATGAACTAGGGTCCCACTTAATTTACTCATGCTTTACCACCATTAACTCAATGTGACTTAAGTCATAATTACCAAAATGTTCCAAGTGGAAAGCCAGAAGATTAGGAAACTTAATACAATGGGAACTTTGAAAAATGAAAAGCTATGAGATTTATTCACAGCCAAAAAAAAAAAAAAAGAAGTCAAATACCATTTATGCATCCACATATAAACACACATAAATATATTCAAGAAAAGTCTGGACATGATAGTCCTGTCCCAACTTGGTCCCTTAAGCAAGAACAACCCTTGACTCCATTCGGTGTAAAAGGTTTACTTTACTAAGGGCCAAGTGTATTACAGTATAGCAAAGCCAGAACTGAGGTTTGCACACCAACTTTTCATGGTTAACTTTTTCCTCTTTGTCCCATCCCATTGTTGACCCTTCATTGTCCAATCATATTCAAATAAAATAGGAACAGATTGTTTTAGGAAGTAGAGTAGGCAGTTCAGAGGTGAATGCCTTTCCCAGTTGTCTGATCTTGAAGTTGTGTCTCTAGAAGCTACCATGAGTCATTAGCCTTCCCCCAGTTCATGGCAGATTGGCAGACAGCAAATGCGAAGCGTAGGAGTGACAGGTCCAGTTAATAATGTAAAAAGGCTGTTATAAATCTATCACGATACCCACAACCTTTGAAATCATTTCTAAATGCTAATTTAGATTTCTTATGCTGCCACATAACTAAAATTAGGCTGCATTTTCTGTGGGACTTATTTGTAACATTGTCACATTAGCAAGTCCTTCCCAAAAGTGTTTTGAATATCCTTACTTTTTTTTTTTTTTAAATTGATTTATATGCTGCCCTTCTCTGGAGACTCAGGGCGGCTTACAATGTGCTCAGCAATAGCCTTCATCCTTTTGTATATTTATACAAAGTCAGTTTATTGCCCCCACAACTGGGTCCTCAATTTACCTACCTTAGAAAGGATGGAAGGCTGAGTCAACCTTGAGCCTTGGCGAGATTCGAACCTGCAGTAATTACAGGCAGCTGGTCTTAATAACCAGCTTAATAACAGGGTGCCACTGTACTACCAAGGCTCTAACTTTGTTAGATAGGCTTGTTTCTTTCCAAAGATACAAATTAATAATGATATGACAACTATAGCTTTTTTATTCCAGAAATGTCCTTAATACTGTGTATCCTTGGCTAAATCTGAGACCAAGTCATTCCAACTGATGGAAGTAGAGAGCTCTAATTTTCTGTCTCGTAGATTATCCTCAGATATTGTTCCAAAATTCTTCATGCCTGTAAAGTACAGGTGTGTGTGTGTGTGTGTGTGTGTGTGTGTGTGTGTGTGTATGTGGTGAGGTGAGAGAAAAAGATCTTAGAGAAACAAGGATTACAAAAATGTGCTTTAAGCCTACAAAACAGAAGACACGAGGAACAAGCTTAGACTGACTTTTCCCTAATTCGCTTGAATATACGAGGGGAGAGGCAAAAAGTCAGGTTCTGTTAGTAAGCCTATATCAACAGAATACTAACCAGACTTATGGATGCAATTTCCTGACTTGGCCTAAATGAAAGGGCTGACAGTCTCCCACACAGAACATTTTTCTCCCTAGCCTAGAAGAATATATTTCCTATTAGAATGATAATGGACAGATATAACAGCTGAAAATACTGCACATGCATATATTCCAATATAGAGGTTGAATCTATATCATGTGCTGATAAATTCTCACTACGGCAATGGCAAACTGAACTTCTGCTACAAGATGTAACTGTTTTTATGCTCAAGAGGTTACCACTTTCCCTTAATGGGACTAATTTCCCCTCAGAATGCTGAAAGATTCTGATCAACAGCTATAGCTTACAGAAATTATTTAATATAGCTCTTACATTAATAACTGTTCCTGAAAAATTAAATGATGAAAATTACTTAGGGCAGCCTTTGCTTGACCTAAATTTCTGCGAACGTATTATAGTGTGTTCAAAGCTGATGCTTAAGTCAGCATGTTTCACAGAGGATTGACCCAGAAAAACTCTTAAAACAGCATGCAGAAACTTTCTTCCAGTAATTGTTTATATTGACGATCATTTTTAGTTCCTCCTTGCCTACCACAAAGAAGAGATCAAAATACTATTTGGATTATTTTACTGCTGCTTCTCCATTGAAATATGATTTCAGCAGGTGCCAGCACACTGCTGAAATGATTCATTATGTATTTATAGAGGTAAAACAAGTACGTGAAGTGTTGATGGCAGCTGGACCTGTTAAGTCACTAGTGATAAGAAAAAACACAATGAAGCCTGAGTGAAGCTGTAAGAAAATCAGTCTGTCAAAGGCACAGAAGCAAAAATTAGATACGAACATCTAAATTAAACCAAGTGATATAGAAGCTATAAAGCAATTAAAAATTATAGCCAATTATAAACCAATTATTTTGTTGCCAGGTATCTCCACATTCAAATTTGGAAAGCCTCAGGAAAAGGATATATTAAAATATAGAAGCTGTTATGCTAAAAAGTATCTGCTAGGCCCAAAGGCCTTTTTCGCCAAATTGCTCTGCATTTTTTCTGCCTTATTTAATGTTACTTTTTCTTCCTGTCATTTGAAGACTTTTCTTCCATAGCCTCCTTCATTTTATCATTTTTCCTAATATCTTTTTCATACAGTGCCCCTGACGCTTCTGTGGCATTTTCTAACATAATAATTCTTGTGTTTTAAGAAGGTTTCGTCACTGTTTTTCCTGATGTCATTTCCATACATTATGCTGGGAGACTAAATAAGAGTCTTACTCTTATATAAAGACTTATTCCTACTGAAGTTGTTCCAGTTTAATACACTTCTCATTTCTTCTCCTTCATATTCCCTTTTCCCCCCTACAAAGTTCCATTATTGACACCACCTATATGGAATGTTGAGTCTGGGAATTGAATTACATACTGAAAAATACTGTAGGACACAAATATCTGCCCATTCATTCCTTAATGCAAATGGGTACAAATATCTCTTCCTAACAAAATTCTCTAACTAACCCCGTTTCCTTTAAAATAAACAGAACAGAACGGAATAACAGAGTTGGAAGGGACCTTGGAAGTCTTCTAGTCCAAACCCTTGCTTAGGCAGGAAACCCTACACCACTTCAGATGAATGGTTATCCAATCTCTTCTTAAAAACTTCTAGTGTTGGAGCATTCACAACTTCTGGAGGCAAGTTGTTCCACTGATTAATTGTTCTTTCAGGAAATTTCTCCTTAGTTCTAGGTTGCTTCTCTACTTGATTTGTTTCCACACATTGCTTGTTGTCTTGCCCTCAGGTGCTTTGGAGAATAGCTTGACTCCTACTTCTTTGTGGCAGCCCCTGAGATATTGGAACACTGCTATCATGTCCTCCCTTGTCCTTCTTTTCATTAAACTAGACATACCCAGTTCCTGCAGCCGTTCTTCACATGCTTTAGCCTCCAGTCCCCTAATCATCTTTGTTGCTCTTCTCGGCACTCTTTCTAGAGTCTCAACATCTTGTTTACATTGTGGCGACCAAAACTGGATGCGGTATTCCAAGTATGGCCATATCAAGGCATTATAAAGTGGTATTAACACTTCACGTGATCTTGATTCTATCTCTCTATTTATGCAGCCTAGAACTGTGTTGGCTTTTTTGGCAGCTGCTGCACACTGCTGGCTCATATTTAAATGGTTGTCCACTAGGAGTCCAAGATCCCTCTCAGTTACTATTATTGAGCAAGGTACCACATATACTATACCTGTGCATTTTGTTTTTCTTGCCTAAATGTAGAACCATATTTTTTTCACCACAATTTCATTTTATTAGATAGTGCCCAATGTTCAAGTCTGTCAAGATCCTTCTGTATCTTAAGCCTATCTTCCAGTGTGTTGGCTATTCCTGCTAGCTTGGTGTCATCTGCAAATTTGGTGAGTTCCCTCTCTATCCCTAGTCCAAATCATAGATGAAGATTTGAAGAGTACTGGGCCTAAAACAGAGCCTTGGGGTACCCCACTGCATACTTCCCTCCATGTAGATGCCATTCCATTGAGGACTACACGTTGAGTGTGGTTGGTCAGCCAGTTAAACCATTACACTTGTGTGTTTTTTGGCTATGATCAGCTTTATGGGCTTGGCATTATTAATAATAGACTTTCATCATCCTTGTTATCCATTAATTATCTCAACCTTTTATTAATCAGATCAAATCAATCAGGTTGTTATGTTGTTCATCTGAGGTTGTATTTACCTACTTTTAAGAACTGTAAGGACCAGATGATTTTTACTATATACTAATACATAAAACCATAGAACTCAAAAAGGATGTACTTTCTTTTTCACATGATGTAGGTTCAATTCCAGCAAGATGGAGTTGCTTTG